ATAGCCAGTTATCTTTTGGCTTCCCTTGTTAAGTTAACTTTTGTTATCTCATTACTTTTGTTGTTCTTACATTTACATATATATGCTCTCTGCCTCACAGCATTCATTCACCTGATGAGCTGACATCCATAAATTCTCTTCAATAACAAATAGGAGCATCAAAGCCCGATGCATCTTCCTGCAACAGGACAGCACCAGCCCTAATGTCACTAGCACTAACAACAAATTTGAAAGATTTTTCAAAGTTTTGTACTTGGAGAACAGGAGAATTCAGAGAATGGGTTTAATCGTGAGCATCTTGACAATTGCTGTTCCAAATTTCACTTCCACCTTTGCTTGTAGGGGCTGAACCTGACCTTGCCTTACGACATGACCTAAAAATGGTACATTTGACAGCAAATTCACTTATCATAAAATTTAGAGTCAACTTGGCTGCCGTGAGTCTCTCGAAGAAGACACAGTTCCTCTTCAGGTGTTTGTCACACTCCATGGAATAATTGATGACATCATCAAGGAAGGCTTCGACACCCTTGTAATATCATTGATGACACGCAGGAAGGTGGCTTGAGCGTACTTGAGCCAAAATGGCATCACTTTATATTGGTAAAGTTTATCTGGAGTCACAAAAGCTGATACTCATTTGGCACGCCCACTCAATGGAATCTGCCAATACCCCTTCAGTAGGTCAAACTTGCTTGCGTACTTGGCTTTACTGATTCTGTCGATGCAGTCAGCGATTCTTTGAATTGGATAAAGTCAGTTTTAGAAAAAACGTTCACACGTTCCATTTCAGTACAATATCTGTAGCTACCATCAGGCTTCGGCACAGGAATGCATGGTGAACTCGAGACACTATTACTTGGTCCGATAACGTCATAGTCCAGCATATATTGAATATCCTTCATCATTGGTTGGAATTATCCGATAGGGATGTTGTTTCACAGGAACAGCGTCACTGACATCTACTAAATCATGACACATTAAATCTGTAAGGCCAGGTATATCCGCGAACAAGTGAGCAAACTTGAATTAACTCTGACACTTGAACGTTTTGCTCAGATGACAAATGACTTCACTTAGCATCCAAATTATCTAAAACTGAAGTGTTGTTTAGATGAGAGATAGCATAGTCACCAATGCCACCAGTCTTGACAAAATTACAGAAGAAATATAAAGAAGAAAGAAGAAAATATGTCATTTATGTTTCACATGCTGTATGTGTGCGCATTGGACATAAAACACTTGCATAAAATAATACAACATCAGGCCATAAAAGGCCCATGAGACACAATGAACAACGAAAAACATTATTTATATAAAAGAATTATAACTTACAGGATTGCGAAACCCAATAAAAAAGGATTATAATTTTAAGTAATGAAATGTTGCCTACATGCAAACATTTTTGAAATAAGGGAGGCAAGAGGTTTTATATACGTGTCAAATTCATTAAGGACTCTGTCTGGTCCACAGGAGAGAATGAAATAAACGTAGGATCAGACTTTATAATTCTCAACCATAAATCATATCTGAAGTGAGAATAAAATGGACAATAAATGAGACAATGTATCTCATCTGCTACAGCGTTATTATTATATAATTTACAAATTTTATCCTGTAAAGGTGTGATAGGTTTAGCAAATCTAGCAAATTCAACTTGTAAGGGTAAGGTGCCGCAGAGTAACTTGCTTAGGATACTATGTTAGGACCTGTTCATAATACATGTAACATTGGGTTCAGCTGACAGCGAGTGTTTGAACAAACTGTAAGTAGGAAGCTAATTTCCATTTTGTAAACAGTTGAGGGAATTGCCTTGCCACTTTCTCCCTGGGTCCACTTCCACAATACGACCTTATCACTTCAATTTTTGTAAACCCGCCATTTGTCCGCAACAGTATTAAGTAAATAAGATCATTGTGGTCCCTGAACATAATTGATAGAAAGGAGTGCAAGAGAAGGTTTGTTTGATATAAATCATCTGCCGAACGTCCACACACTTCATTTTGTTATGAAAGCATAGTCGATTGTGCGATTACGGCTATTTCATAAGCATAAATGAACAATTGTCTTTCTTCCCCAGAACAAATCAAAGATTCTCAAAACATCAATATCATGTAATTATAAACAAACGAATTGAGCAAAAACACATATCACAAACGTAGGAACAGTGTTACAGAGATATATTTGCTACAGACAATGAAAAATATTGGCAATATTATTGCCACATATTGTTCAATAAATTCGTAATGTCACATGGATACTTAGAAAAATCTGTAATTGTATAATGTCCCGTTACTTCATCAATATCATCATTATGAAGATTCTCAAAACATCAATATCATGTAATTATAAACAAACGAATTGAGCAAAAACACATATCACAAACGTAGGAACAGTGTTACAGAGATATATTTGCTACAGACAATGACAAATATTGGCAATATTATTGCCACATATTGTTCAATAAATTCGTAATGTCACATGGATACTTAGAAAAATCTGTAATTGTATAATGTCCCGTTACTTCATCAATATCATCATTATCTGGACCAAGAAAGAACGCTAAAATGTCATGGTCTTCCATCATGTCTATTTGCACATACTTCTAGAATCTAGAATATCAATGGGAGTAGAAATGAACACATCTCTCTCTATTAAAGTACATATTAACAGTTTGCATAGTGAGAATAATCATTAGAGTATTACATTCTGTACACTCGTTAGATATTCTACTTCTGTATGCAATCCTTGTTAATCCTTTGTTCTCTCAATTCTGAATATAGCATTACCCTGCTGTATAACACATGAGCAGTAAGCGTTGTATGGATTTTCGAATATACATTCAGGTCAGTTCTTAGTGACAATCCATATGTCCACACTTCTTATTTCATTGGAAAAAATATTTCTCAACTTATACTTCACGGGGAATTCTTCTGTACAAAAGAAGTGAAATACCTAATAAAGTAAGTTACTGTTCTAAAAATACTAGAGTGACAGAGATGCGCAGAAAACAGTTTTACAAATTGAGAGTCATAGATTAGCAATTGTGGCATCAGTGGGAGAGCGTTTATCAAAACCTTGTACAACCCTGGCAAAGAAGTGCTAGGTGCTTTCAGCTTACTAAAGATCTTTCCCATGTGGAGGAGGTTGTAATGAACATTTCTGAGAGGGATATAGTCCCCCAATATGAGTCTTATGAGCGACTTAAAACATTGTCAGTTGCAAACTTGTGTGTCACGAGAACGAAAAGAATCCAAAAGTGTTATATATGATGTTGATCGTGATGTTGACACCGAGGACATTCTTTATCAGCGTAACGATTAGAAACCTTTAATGTCTTCACAGCTTCCAAAATGAGCCTGAATGTATATTAAGACATTCGTCGTTCGACTTTACATCCCTCCTGCAATGAGGTGCTATTAGAGAAACTATACCACCCATCTAATAGTCTTAATGCAGCCGACCTTAAAAGATGTCATTGCATTTGACTACAACATTAGCATATGGTTGTGATGACCAAATAAAAGAAGTTGGCAGTCTTTCTAACCAACGAACTGCCAAACTCAATGTATTGAATCAGCCATAGTCAATATAAAGCCAAACTTTTACCATTGTTTTGAAAGATGTGTTGCCCTTCCTTCAGGAAACGTTGAGATTGCACAAAGTGAGAAAGACGAGACTTAATATCATTGAAAGAAATCAAACGACTCCAGCAACATTTGCTGATGGGTGGGTCTGCAAACAGAAGAACCCATGGTATCGACTTGATATAGTTTAGTTAATATTGTATAGTATAATTTGTTAATATTGCTTTGAAACGGTTGACCAACCAGAATGTACTCCACTAATTCAGTACATAGATCACATGTCCCTGAATTTTGAAGTTTGCAAACAAGGGAATTGATGCCTTGAATTTAAGTAACATTCTCAGTTTCGATACATACCCCACACTATTCCAAATCTCATCAGCAAGTATCATTCTCCCATACAAACACCATTCCATCCAAGTAGAGGATTTTTTTTCAGAGTGCGAACAAGACTTGAACGCAAAGCGAAGCTGTAAAATTCCACTACTTCTGGCTGCCGGCGACTAACTGGACGGGTGGTCAGGCTCGCTGACATGGTCACCATATCCCAACTGTGTACATCGATACTCATGATGTCAATCAATGGATTGTCTGGTCCAGATTATTTACAGAATGCCGTCATAGCTGTAATTCTGCTGATTGCGGCGTTAAACAGCAAGCAAACAAACTTCTGGCCGCCAAGACTCATTATACTGCTACTGTTGACAATTACAACTTTCATTAGTTACTTGTATTCAAATATGGATCAAAATACTATGAGCACCCTTATTACCAATTGGGATAAAACATTATCTTATTATGGACGCTGTGGAAGCACGTGTCAGAAAAATGTGAGAAAAAGAGAGTGTCCGTTCAGTATTCTTTTCACCCGTTATATTAATGTACATGACTTGTGAAACAGCTATCGATGTTTACGATGTTTAAAGTTTACTGTTTGAAATGCATTCCTCAATCGAGAAAAGCATGTTCATTTTATCTGTTTCTTATTATTATTACTTAATGACTGGCTTTGTTCTTCAAAGGTGATGAATAAATCATATGATGAACGAATCATATACATAGTACTTATGTTTACATACAGAAGCGTTATCAGGGAATACCGGGTATTGTTATATTTACAAATTCCTCACAATATTAAAGTAGACCCGTGAAGACCCGGGGTAGAATAGATCTTCAGCAAACCATGCTTGTTGTGAAAGGCGACTATGCTTGTCATAGGAGGCGACTAACGGGAACGGTTGCTCAGGCTCGCTGACTTGGTTGATGCATGCCATCGGTTCCCAATTGCGTGGATAGATGCTCATGATGTCAATCACTTGATTATTAACAGACCGCCGTCATATAGCTGGAATATTGCTGAGTGTTGCGTGAAATAACAAACAGACAAACAAACAAACAACAATATTAAAGTAATCTTGAATTTGAGAAATTATAAAGCTTCCTAACCCCACGATATAAATCCACATATGAAGATGTACATAGCTTTCATAGTTTCGGAAAAAAACATGTTGTGGGATGTATGTCTGTGGATATGTGGGAGATAGAAACCAAACCTGTTTTAATGGAGTTCGAATATCGTCTTTGAATCAAATGATAATCAGTGATGAATGTTGTTTAGAGATTAAAACGAAGTCTCCTGAACAATGAGGTCTCTCCACCGTGTACAATGCACTGTGCCAAAAATGGTAACGTCACACATGATCGTAACGGGCATCAAATATGCTGTTCGCGGCACTGCATTGCTTGGGTGGCTTCAGTTGAATCGGGATAAGTCCCCTGAATTGTGTGTATGAATTCGGATGAATCTCCATAGCTCCCATGAGGGGTTGGTGTTCCTTCAAATGAATCCTGAGAGAGATCCTGCATGGTCTTCACAACCGATGGAGCTGTTCCCTTCTGAAGACGATTCTCATTCCTGTAGGCACTGATCTACAAGTACACATGGTGATCAGGATTTTAATAACATATGCGTTGTCGTAGAAACAGAAAAAAAACCTTGATAATACGGGGGCTGGTCAAAAGGTTATAAGCCTCACGAACTGTCACCTATGGGCCATAACAAAGTAAACTAGTCAGTGTAGTACATTGTGTGAGTAGTTCATTGCAAGTGTATTTGTGTATTGGTGACAGCCGGATGAACGTGATAAGGGTCCAAATGGACACAAAATGGAAAAGAACGAGTGCCAAGAAGTCATCAAGTTTTTGACTTTAGAGAAAAGTACTGACAAAAATATTCATGACCGCATGTCACAAGTGTTAGGGGGATGAGTGCCCTAGCTATTCCACTGTTTTGTTTGGCAGCTTTGTTTAAGGGTGGGACAACAAGCCTTGATGATGATCCTAGGTCTTGACGACCCTAAACTTCCATCGATGACGATTCAATCAAGGCGATAGAAAAAACTTATGCTGTCAGATAGAACTTGAGACACAGGTCTAACCCATGGATCCATTGAAACTACTATTCATGAACATTTACAGATAGATAAGATATCTGCTCGTTGGGTGCCAACGATTTTAAATTCTGATCTTAAGGAAAACAGAACTGACATTGCCAGAGAAAAATTAAAAGATTATTTAGGAGGAGAATAAAAAAGAGAATAGTAAGGGGTGATGGAAAATTGGTCCACCAATATGCTGATTTGCTACATCGCCTGAGAGAGTCTATCAAAGAAAAGTGTCAAGGAATGCTGACTGCTGGAGTTTTACTACTTCGTGACAATGCCTCTTCTCACACCTCTCGACTTGAAGGCTCAAAGATTCTGTGAATGGGTTTCACTATCGATATGAGAAGTGATTTGAAAAGCACGGAGATTTGGTTGAAAAATACAATTAAAAACATTTGTTGGTTTTGTTTGTTAGGCTTAAAACTTTTTGACCAGCCGTCGTATGCACCATTTGGAGTTTGGATGTAGAGATTCCGACATTGATCTTTCTGTCTATACGGGGCTTTAAATAAAAAAATGTCAATTGGTTATGATTCTTGAAAAATTTAACGTGTAATTATTGGTCATGTATTTACAACAACGTGCATTGCCATTTTTATTACATCTCTCCTCTAGTGCCTACAAGAGTTTTGTATGTTATACCTAGATAGCTCACTGTTACCTTGGGGACAAAGATGAGCGTCTGGGTGACTGCGGTTGCGAGGATGGTGACAGTCGATTCCACTGAATAGTGTATGAGGACCTCCTTCCTGAGGGCGAGAAACGCGAAGACCCCCATCACCCCCAGGACTACGGTGTTGTAGATGCACATCCCGATGTAGCGAGAGTCGTTCAAGACCTCAACGTGTACCTAAAATGCATTCGAGTTGCAAGTTAATTGACGTAGTCGCTAGACATTTGACATGTGTTATGATACAAAGTGGCAATTGTTTAGAGTGAATCAGTGAGTATGGTTTTACGCCGCTTTTAGCAATATTCCAGCAATATCACGCCGGGGGACACCAGAATGGGTTTCACACATTGTACCCATGTGCGGAATCGAACCCGAGTCTTCAAGGTGACGAGCGAACGCATTAATCACTAGGCTACCTTACCGCCCCTAATTGTTTAGAAATGTACGTATGTACTATATCGACTTGTGAGAACATTTTAACGATTTTAGGAGACCGAAGGAGGATGCGACTGTATATGCGAACGAGAGAGGGAGTCGAAGAGGAACGTGTAGTTCATCGGTAAGTATTTGTACAAAGTTGAAGAATACATGATTTATGAGTTGATGTTCCCAGAGCACGTAGCTCATGCGACCGCCTCCGTGGTCTAGTTGTAGAGCGTCCACCCGGAGAGCGGAAGGTCCGGGATTCGATCCCCGATCACGTCATACCAAAAGACGTGAAAAGATTATACTTGTTGTTACCCTGTCTGGCGCTCGGCATTAAGGGGCTAAAACAAGGACTGGTCGGCTCGGAATCAGTAGACTGTGTCTGAGTTGGGTATATTAAATAAGAATAGTTCACGTTAATGCTTTAAAAGTACATCTTGTTAAGTCAAGTGACTGATACAAAATTTAGCTTGTCAACGTTTCAGCCTCTGCTCTACCTTCCTGGTTTCCCAGGCTAAGAAGACTCCATACAGCAGCAGTGTCCCCAGCACACCGAGGATGGGTCCAAGGTAGAACTTGCTGTTCGGTGAGCTACACAGGTGTACCACGGGCTGGATTAAGACATCAGCATCTGTTACTGTCTGGAAATATTAGAATCAAGTGTTAAGATAGCGATTTTCGAAATGTGGGTGTGGGATTGTTAAATGTATATCAAACTACGTTGCACAATAAATGATTGAGCACTGCTGGAAATTGACTAGTTGTGTTTGTCTTTGGGTTACTTTTAATGTTAAAAAGGCATCTTCCACCATGTTGGTATTAGATTGTTTAGATGTATCAAATCAGCGGTGTGATGGATTAGTATAACTATATCTCACTTCAGGTGTCAGTGTCTGGTGGGTGATAATAACTATATCTCACTTCAGGTGTTAGTGTCTGGTGGGTGATAATAACTATATCTCACTTCAGGTGTCAGTGTGTGATGGATGATTATAACTATATCTCACTTCAGGTGTCAGTGTGTGATGGGTGGTAATAACTATATCTCACTTCAGGTGTCCGTGTCTGGTGGGTGATAATAACTATATCTCACTTCAGGTGTCAGTGTGTGATGGATGATTATAACTATATCTCACTTCAGGTGTCAGTGTGTGATGGATGATTATAACTATATCTCACTTCAGGTGTCAGTGTGTGATGGATGATTATAACTATATCTCACTTCAGGTGTTAGTGTGTGATGGGTGATAATAACTATATCTCACTTCAGGTGTCAGTGTCTGGTGGGTGATAATAACTATATCTCACTTCATGTGTCAGTGTGTGATGGGTGATAATAACTATATCTCACTTCAGGTGTCAGTGTCTGGTGGGTGATAATAACTATATTTCACTTCAGGTGTCAGTGTGTGATGGATGATTATAACTATATCTCACTTCAGGTGTCAGTGGGTGATGGGTGATGATAACTATATCTCACTTCATGTGTAAGTGTCTGGCGGGTGATAATAACTTTATCTCACTTCAGGTGTCAGTGTGTGATGGGTGATAATAACTATCAAGATCTCACTTCAGGTGTCAGTGTGTGATGGGTGATTATAACTACATCTCACTTCAGGTGTCAGTGTCTGGTGGGTGATAATAACTATATATCTCTTCAGGTGTCAGTGTGTGATGGGTGATTATAACTACATCTCACTTCAGGTGTCAGTGTGTGATGGGTGATGGAGATAGAGTCCATGAGTATCCAGGCAAGCAGGATCCCAGAGTTCACCAGAACTAGTATCCCGACCATCAGAAAAAGACTCCAGTCCTTGTAAACCTATAAATTGATTTATCAAAATATTTGAATGTCATCGTGTCTCTGCTGTGATTGAGGATTCAAACTGATTACAGCTGCACGTACGTTTCATGAGGATAATATGTACGACATGCTCCCGTAGTTGTTAAGGTAGACACTTTACATTCCTTTGCATGTGTTTGTGAAGGTTCCACCGGTAAGACAGTATATTTCTTTCTCGAACAGATGGTGTCATCGTATTTTATATTGATTTATAAACACATGCTCATGATCGTAAAATTGACTTCCTTTCATGGAAAGGGGTGTCTTGAACGTTGATGTCAGCCCATATATTTACCAGAAGTCAGAAGGTTACCAGAAGCCTTAATAGCTCAAGCTGACAGAAATGACATTTTGGAAAGCTTGACAAAGGGAAAAAGTGGCAGCTTACATCATCCTCATGACCATCGGAGACAGGCTCCAGGCTCGGTAAGCCCTTATAAATCAAAGTAAAATTGTCCAAAGTTAAACATGTCTTATGTACCTTAAGAAGCTATTAGTATGTAATCATTCAATCCTTACAAGGAGTACGTTTGTAAGATGTAACACGAAACCTGGTACCACCAAAGATAGATTGGTCGATGTCGAAACAGGGCTCGAATAGGTCCTAGGGACTCATTGCTGGTCGTCAGAAGCGAGTACATTGGCTCGGTGGTCAGTCGCTGAGACTTGGATGATGTAGCTGGAATACCGACCCCGTGACATAGCTTGGTTAGTACGTACTGCGGCGTTACTGTTACTAACCTACGAAGCTGAATGGATTACCTTGTTAGTGGTGACCTTGAAGTTGGTGGTGAAGATGACGTACACCCTCCAGGTCTTGGCGAACAGGGCACCAAATGTCATCGAGAAACCAATCGTCAAGACAAAGATCCTAGCTTGGAATACCTGCAACAGCCAACCTGCCACTTGAAGTAAATACTGGCAGCATCGTGTATGCAAGGCAGACGGAGCTGGATTTTAGAAGTACCAGCAGGATGAAACTGTGTATCGAATTTCAGAACTCAGGTCTGTCCTTGGAATGACATTTTTAGCCAATAAAGCACGGGATTGCCTAAAAGTCGGGCCAAGAAAAGTCGGGCCGGGCCGGACCAGCGGGTAAGGCTAAAAATGGATTGCAGAATAATAAAACGAAACGTACATATCTCGGCCGATCTCAAATGTCCACAAACGTATAGTTTGTCTCATTTAATTGAGTTTGAATCCAAATGCATCTTCAACAATGTAATAAATTGATAATTATGACTACATACCGTGAGTCCTCTTAGAAAAATCAGTGTCTTGACTGTGTGTTTTCTTTGATGAGAAGGTTTCTCACCGACTTAAGCGTGTAGGGTGTGATGTCCTGGGCAGGAAACGACAGTGTTTTGACTACTCTTCTTTCATTAATTAACGTGTTGGGCATCCCTTATTAACCTTTACTAATTCATGTTAAACCAACACAGGATGTTTTCTGGAATTGGATAGTGCTGGGCTGACACGACACGTATTAATAACTGCCCTGACACTTCTAAAGTTACTGAACATTCTTTACACCTAAAGACTGGTATTATATCTACCTATATATCACTTTAGTGTCCCATATTGCAGTAGTTAAAGAAAACACGGTGCTCAAAGGGAAGCCCATTTCCCTCTACATTCTCAACGTTCTTTATTAGAAGTTATTGGTCTGTGCTCGGTCCGACTTGGCCCGGGCTGTCAAAATCAACTTCAAACTCACAGATGTATGATCAAATGTGTTTACATCTATAGACTAGTATTATATCTACCTACATATCACTTTATAATGTCACAGAACACCGCATTTAAAGAAAACAGGTCCGTTAAAGTCAAGCACTTTTACTGAATTTTCTCAAGAAAATCTGTCAAATGTGTTTGCCCCGATTCGGCCCGGGCTGTCAACATCAACTTAAACCTGATATATGTATCATGCCATGGATTCAGATCTATAGATTAGTATTATTTCTAACTGTATACCACTTCATAGTGTCTCATATATTTACAGAAAACAAGGTGCTCAAAGTGAAGCCCTTTTCCCTCTACATTCTCAACGTAGTCTCTATCAAAAGTGTTTGGCTTGTGTTGGGTCCGACTTGGCCCTGGCTGCCAAAATTAACTTTGAACACACAGATGTATCATCAAATGTGTTTACATGTATAGACAAGTATCATATATACCTAAATACCACTTTATAGTGTCTCAGATCGCGGTATTTAAAGAAAACAAGGAGCTCAAAGTGAAGCTTCTGTGTGATTAATTGTAGGTATACATTGTAGACAGACAGACAATAATTTATTAGTGCCTCACTACTGTACATACATAAAACAGCTTTGTACAAATAAACATTGATAGAATGTACAGAACCATTCAATTGAAGTATGAGTGATTATTAACAGCATATCCCACTGATAAGTATATGATAAATTGTTGAATTAACATAAGATAAGGTTGAGAATTAATAGTGTTTTTTTTCAATACAGCTTAGACTGGTGAGTCGTCTGCTAGCCCAGCTATAGTTCGATGATAACCAGCCTGCTCATATTTTTACCCTGTTCCCCATTGTTGGAAAGTGTGTCGTCTGCTACCCCAGCTGGAGCCATCTGGTAACAATTAATCACAAGCTGTCAATACACAATACATTATAATACATCAAGATGGCAGTTTCCATGTAACGATTAAGTATTTCCAAGCAACTTAAAGATATGTACAATATCTATATATATGTATCTTTAATTTACTTAGAAATACTTAAGCTGTACATGAAAACTGCCATCTTGATGTATTATTGTGTTTTGTATGTTGGCAGCTGGTGACATGCAGAGCCGTTATTGCTACCAAGGGCGGCCCCACGAGATACGGAGTTCAGCGCAACATTGTGGCCTTATGTGACATGACAATGAACAATTTTCAATGTCTTTGTACAACGACAACATGTGACTATCGGACTCCAAAATTTCATATTTTTATATATGGTATTAAATACATCGACTTTATTAGGTACAATAAATTTACTACAAATCTACCTGTGCGTTTCTCTTTTCGAAAAGTGTATATCTCCTTTCGCTAAAGTTGACCGGTATATATTTTGTAAGAATAAACTATTGCGCATTGAGCGATTATCTCCTCTAGCTGTATGCGTAGTATAGAGCTTTAACACGCGTGACCTTGCAATGATGTGCATCGTAACTTATTCAAGCTGTATCACTGAGAGTGAGTGATTATCTCCCTTACCCGAATAGCTCTATTGCGCACTAGCTTTGCAATATATCGTATGTTATTCAGGCAGCCAGCCATAATGGTTCCAGGGAGGAATTCAGGTCTGGCATGTAACGCGCACTCAGTCTTTCTCCTTTCACACTGCTATTGCTATTGTTCAACACGATTCAATACCAGGCTTCTATGAAGCATGACTTTGTTCAATAAACAACACATGTAAAACAACAGGTTTGATATCAGAAATTTGTAATAAGTTGTCTTCACAATCATATGTATGGTGCTTGCTTTGCAGATTTGAGCACAGTTTCAAGTAGTTCACTGTTTGTAAAGTATGATTCATACCGTTTCATACGGCGGTTTATTATATTGACAGTTGTTTTAACTTCTTTGCTTCTGGATGCATTGGAAATGAACATGTCGGCCCGTAGTTTGCAATTATATTCCTGAAAAATAATTCGGTTGCATGATATATGCACGATGTTTGGTTTGAACAAAGTAACATTCTTCTAAACATACTCGTCACGCCGAAGACCCGGGTTCGATTCCCGACATGGGTACAATGTGTGAAGCCAATTTCTGGTGTCCCCCGCCGTGATATTGCTGGAATATTGCTAAAAGCGGCGTAAAGCCATACTCACTCACTCACTCTGAACATACTTCAAATTTAAACCGGAAGTAATCACAACATAAACCCAGTTAACCAAAGGAAACCGTACACAAGAGTAGTGAGTGAGTGAGATGGGTTTAACGCCGCTTTGAATAGTATAATTCCAGTTATATCACGGCGTGTCAGCTTGATGTTGAAGGAAAGCCCGAAGTGATGCAGGTCTTAGACGTTCACCACTTTGGTGAAACCCATGAGCACGGGTATAGTGCTGACAACACAATCGGGGCGAACCGGGATTCGAACACACTGTCATAGGTTTCTGGTTTGCCCAAGGGACACAACTCTGCATTGCGAATTGCAGAGCACAAGGCGACTTTGCCCAACCGTTCCCCCGTACACAACTGTAACAAACTATCATGCAACAAAGATGTTGAAGATGAGATATGTATTGCGTAACATTCCATGAAGAAACAGTTGCAATATTTCACTATCACAAACTTCAAAATATATGCACAATAATTGCAAAACACACAAGTACATTCAACATACAGAGAAGGCACATTAAAACAAATGTATTATATTGATGTGGAAACAATATGATAATTGAGCCAAACACTTCTATGTTCAGAATGTAGAGGGAAAAGGGCTTCACTTTGAGCACCTTACTTCATAAAAAAGTATAAAGGTAGATATAATACTAATCTATAGATTTGATGATACATCTTTGTTTTTAAAGTTGATTTTGACAGCCCGGGCCAAGTCGGACCGAACACTTCTGACAATGATTTACTTAAGAAAATACAGTAAAAGTGTTTGACTTTAACGGATCAGTTTTCTTTCAATGCGATGTACCGTGACATTATAAAGTGGAATATAGGTACATATAATACTATTCGATAGATGTAAACACATTTGATGATACATCTGTGTGTTTAAAGTTGATTTTGACAGCCCGGACCAAGTCGGACCCAACACAAGCCAAACACTTTTGATAGAGACTATGTTGAGAATGGAGAGGGAAAAGGGCTTCACTTTGAGCACCTTGTTTTCTTTAAATACCGCGATCTGAGACATTAGAAAGTGATATATAGGTAAATATAATAATAGTCTATAGATGTAAACACATTTGATGATACATCTGTGTGTTTAAAGTTGATTGTGACAGCCAGGGTCAAGTCGGACCGAACACTTGTGAGACTGTTGAGAGTATGGGGAGAAGAGGTCTACTTTAACCAACGTGTCTGCTTTAAACACGATGAACAGTGACATAATTAAGTGGTGTTTACTTAGATATAGTACTGTCCTATAAATGTAAACGCTATGCCGACAGGTGGAAATTTGTATCACGATAGCTAGAAGTATTTGATGCGTTTCAAATCCTATTTCGTTTTACGATTGCCCTTTTGCATGTTACCTAAATCAGCGACGCTTACACACAGCTCCACTTTCTGGTTTTCAAGCGATTTACTCCGAATCACTTAATTATGTTGCACGTTCTTAGTTGGTGATTGTCCATTAATGACGTGTGTATGTTGCATCAGTAATATTTAGGTATGGTCGCCGATAATGGAGTAATTAGCCAATACCACTTTGGCCCGTCTTGGCCCGGCCCGGACCGACTTTTAGGTAATCCCATAAAGCACGTAACTTTTTGTGAAGGAAATAAACTATGACAGCTATTTATTTAGGATTTGTAAAAGAATGGCGAATAAATCTACTGAACTCTGAGGTATGCATGGTTTATACGGCAATTCGAAATTGCATTATGGACAAGAATGCATTATTATGACATGATAGGCCAATGTAGTCTTTTGGATAAGAGACTTTAGAGAGGAATCCTACAGACATTTAAGCTGATATCAGCTGACCGTGACATAGTCAGTTCCAGGGAGACATAAATGAAAAATCATTTTCCTCTGTAAAACGTGACGAATAGACTCATAGACTAACTCAATAGAGCATTTCAAGGTCGAAGAAAGTTTTCCATTCAATATTTAAAATTAAAAATTCAAACTGCAAATTAGCAACCCTTGTTTTTCGCCAATCTGTATGAATTCCTTTGTAGTACAATGTATATAGGATGTATATTACCGGATATCATGCTGCTACCATATAGCAGTGAACGGTACATAGAGGTTATCACGCTTGTGTGTTTTGGAATGGTAAATATCCTGTATTAGGAATAAACATTGTATTTAGCGAGCCTTGGCAAGCTAGGTACATATTGTTTTTTCCTAATACATCTCTATCCGCATATGACCCCAGCGGATATCGTTTTTATCCGTTGGCTTTATCCTGCAGAGATACCTACCCATTATGTGATAAATACCAGTATTTGTATTACCAGATATCATGCTGCTGCCAAAAGGTACCGTAGTCTACCGTATAGCAGTGAACGGTACATCCCAGTATGTGTAGTACCTGACACTAGCTGGTGTCACAAGGTACCGTAGTCTACCGCATAGCAGTGAACGGTACATCCCAGTATGTGTATTACCTGACACTAGCTGCTGCCACAAGGTACCGTAGTCTACCGTATAGCAGTGAACGGTACATCCCAGTCTGTGTATTACCTGAGACTAGCTGCTACCACAAGGTACCGTAGTCTACCGCATAGCAATGAACGGTACATCCCAGTCTGTGTATTACCTGACACTAGCTGGTGTCACAAGGTACCGTAGTCTACCGTATAGCAGTGAACGGTACATCACAGTCTGTGTATTACCTGACACTGGCTGGTGTCACAAGGTACCGTAGTCTACCGCATAGCAGTGAACGGTACATCCCAGTATGTGTATTACCTGACACTAGCTGCTACCACAAGGTACCGTAGTCTACCGTATAGCAGTGAACGGTACATCACAGTCTGTGTATTACCTGACACTAGCTGCTGCCACAAGGTACCGTAGTCTACCGCATAGCAGTGAACGGTACATCCCAGTCTGTGTATTACCTGAGACCAGCTGCTACCACAAGGTACCGTAGTCTACCGCATAGCAGTGAACGGTACATCACAGTATGTGTATTACCTGACACTAGCTGGTGTCACAAGGTACCGTAGTCTACCGCATAGCAGTGAACGGTAGATCCCAGTCTGTGTATTACCTGACACTGGCTGGTGTCACAAGGTACCGTAGTCTACCGCATAGCAGTGAACGGTACATCACAGTCTGTGTATTACCTGACACTGGCTGCTGCCACAAGGTACCGTAGTCTACCGTATAGCAGTGAACGGTACATCACAGTCTGTGTATTACCTGACACTAGCTGGTGTCACAAGGTACCGTAGTCTACCGTATAGCAGTGAACGGTACATCCCAGTCTGTGTATTACCTGACACTGACTGCTGCCACAAGGTACCGTAGTCTACCGTATAGCAGTGAACGGTACATCCCAGTATGTGTATTACCTGACACTAGCTGGTGTCACAAGGTACCGTAGTCTACCGCATAGCAGTGAACGGTAGATCCCAGTATGGGTATTACCTAACACTGACTGCTGCCACAAGGTACCGTAGCCTACCGCATAGCAGTGAACGGTACATCACAGTCTGTGTATTACCTGACACTAGCTGCTGCCACAAGGTACCGTAGTCTACCGTATAGCAGTGAACGGTACATCACAGTCTGTGTATTACCTGACACTAGCTGGTGTCACAAGGTACCGTAGTCTACCGTATAGCAGTGAACGGTACATCCCAGTCTGTGTATTACCTGACACTGACTGCTGCCACAAGGTACCGTAGTCTACCGTATAGCAGTGAACGGTACATCCCAGTCTGTGTATTACCTGAGACTAGCTGCTACCACAAGGTACCGTAGTCTACCGTATAGCAGTGAACGGTACATCACAGTCTGTGTATTACCTGACACTAGCTGCTGCCACAAGGTACCGTAGTCTACCGTATAGCAGTGAACGGTACATCACAGTCTGTGTATTACCTGACACTAGCTGCTGCCACAAGGTACCGTAGTCTACCGCATAGCAGTGAACGGTACATCACAGTCTGTGTATTACCTGACACTAGCTGGTGTCACAAGGTACCGTAGTCTACCGTATAGCAGTGAACGGTACATCCCAGTCTGTGTATTACCTGACACTGACTGCTGCCACAAGGTACCGTAGTCTAACGTATAGCAGTGAACGGTACATCCCAGTATGTGTATTACCTGACACTGGCTGGTGTAACAAGGTACCGTAGTCTACCGTATAGCAGTGAACGGTACATCACAGTCTGTGTATTACCTAACACTGACTGCTGCCACAAGGAACCGTTGTCTACCGTATAGCAGTGAACGGTACATCCCAGTATGTGTATTACCTGACACTGTCTGTTGCCACTGTTGAGGTCGGTCAGGAACACCCCTGTGTAGGTGATGACACAGCCGCTGAGGATGACGTTGTTCAGGTTGGGGGAGGACATCTTAATTATCCTGGAAAGTATTGTAAGCATACGACGATTGTTTATGGTAGATGTGCGGAGGCAGTGAGGTCCGATGGAATTCCCAATTTTGACCTCCATGTTTTTTCAGGTGAACAGTTGACTTGCCTTTGGAGCAGGATACAATCACTTTTCGCGAACACCTGGTATCATCACTAGTAGATAGTGATTTATCAACACATGCACATGATACAGCGGGAATTGTACAATGTACTACGATTTTAGCAGATATGTCTTATGATGATGAATAGAGTTTTGTTGCTTTTATTAATTATAACACCCTCAGCGATATGTTTATCAATTGCAATCGGTTATTCTCGTCTGTCATATGATCATATACTTCATCCACTGACATAATTGGTGTTATATCATTATCAAATAGTCATCTCAACAACGAGCTGACCATAGCAACATATCATAAGTGATATGTTCACCTCACTGACAATGTATTTAAATTTTAGTTCCTCCTGAAACAATTCACACGGAAATATACCAGAACTGAAATTGATTCTATAATATGTTATCCACCTTATGAAGCCTTTTCGTGACAAATCAGTACTCTCGCCCATGTAATGGACAAATATCCAAACTTGTGGTTTATTCAGCTTATCATGATATACTTTACCTTTCATTTCTGCAGACAACGTTGAACACAAGGAAAGCAATGGCCAGGAACATGGCGGCTCCAGCCAGACAACACATGGCGATGTACACCGGCACTGGCAGCGTGATGACCCTCTCCTCCACCCTCACGCTGTCCACGGGGACACGCCCATCTACAAATACCACGCCCATAAATATACGTGATGTCAACTAGCAGCGTGATGACCCTCTCCTCCACCCTCACGCTGTCCACGGGGACACGCCCATCTGCAAATACCACGCCCATAAATATATGTGATGTCAACCAGCAGCGTGATGACCCTCTCCTCCACCCTCACGCTGTCCACGGGGACACGCCCATCTACAATAACACACCCATAAATATATGTGATGTCAACTAGCAGCGTGATGACCCTCTCCTCCACCCTCACGCTGTCCACGGGGACACGCCCATCTACAATAACACACCCATAAATATATGTGATGTCAACTAGCAGCCTGATGACCCTCTCCTCCACCCTCACGCTGTCCACGGGGACACGCCCATCTAAAAACACCTCGCCCATAAATATATGTGACGTCATATCAGCACTGTAGAGACCCTCTTCTCTACCCTTACGCTGTCCTTGGGGACATGCCCATCTACAAATACCACGGCCATAAATATATATGATATATTTCTGGTACCTATGTGTCATATCTCTATACACGGTTACATGAGAAACGCCCATCTACAAATGCAACAGATATTGATATTGATGTTATTGCGATACATCTGGCATGTTAAAAAGATCACTAACTTACTAATCATACCAAACTAGATCCATGGTTATATTGAACAACACGGGGAATACTGCTCTAGATTTCTAGGACTTGAAAGGCGACACCTTGACATTATCTGAAACTTTCCCAATTGCAGCTGCCGAGTCTTCACGAGAGATTTACGAAACGCTATCAGATCATGTATGGCTAGGTCTCAGACTGGTAATTGACACTAAAACTGATCGAGATCAGTAAACAGTTGATATTATCTTGACATCACCACGTAACCTATACATCGGATGACGGCAGTGTTATCTGGATGTAGCATCAAAGCAACACACAGACAGGGATAGGACAAACTAAGATCTTATGAGGAACTAGGCGCAGGTTAACATTGTAACACAGTATCAACAACAATTGAGCGCAGACACTCTGCCCTATAATGTCCCTGTGAACAGTGATATTTCGATAGTTTAGAGTTCAAATAATAGTTCAGAATATTACGTAAAAAATAGAAATCTTAACACGGCAAAAAAAAGTGTAGGTTTCCGTCTCCCGGAAACCTTCCGAATACCTTCCCATTTTGGATCCGGATTTGTTTGGATTTAAGTACTTTAGTAGAATTACGTGTTATATTAATTTTTTAATAACTAGAAACAATACATGAAGAAAATTTGCATCCGGATACCTTCCGGGAACCTTCCAAAAAAATGTCAAAATTTGGGGGTTGCATTTTGTTCACTTAAGTGTGAAACACATAAAAAATTATCTTGAAAATACCATGAAATTTGAAGGTTATTGAAGGCATCTGGAAGGTTTCCAGAAGGTATCCGGATGCAAATTTTCTTCATGTATTGTTTCTAGTAAAATAAATACACGTAATTCTACTAAAGTACTTAAATCCAAACAAATCTTCCACATTTTTGTACATGGTTTACGTACCTCTGAACACAGTGAAATCTGTGGATGGCATCAGCCACTGTATGTCACGGTCAGTCGTGTCTCCTACTCCCACTCGGATGTGTGTCGAGTCTGCAAGGATGACAATTAGAGTTTACAGAGTCGTATAAATTCAAATATCATAGGAAAAAGTATCGTTATTAACTATTACATATGAGAAACAGAAATCGTTATTAACTAAAAATCAGATGGAAAAGCATCGTCTTAAACTAATACATCGTTACAAACCTATGCATCGGATGAACAAGCATCGTCATAAATAAGTACATCGGATTATCAATATAAAACGTCATAACCAGAGAATAACCTGCCGAAACAGATACACTTGGGCGTAAAAGCCAAAACAGGTGAAATGAATGGACAATTAGTGATGACACCAGGTGTTCTCGATCAGGGGAAGCATGTCCTGCCCCACCGAAAACACCCGCCACTCACACAATTTGCATCAAAAAGTAATCCATACGTTGTACATTGTAACACGATCCTCGCCTGTTCAGATCTGTACAAATCACTTTCCATTTCTAAAAAACAATTCCCAGTCATTTCGACCTAATGGGATAACGGGTTCGAATCGGTCCCCAGAAACCTATCCTGGTCCTAATAGGTGACCAAATGGATCGGGATGTCAGTCCAGATGTCTTGGTTGACTGCGTGTCATTATAACCTGACGGCGTAAATCCATGCTCATAAGATTGATCAGCCTTTGTCAGGACTAGATTCGGTTATTTACAGGCCTCAGTTATATAGCTGGAATGTCATTGAGCATTAAAATCAAATAAACAAGCTATTTCAACAATGACATACTGACGAATAAAGTGTGAGTTGTACATTAATTCCAATCCATTCAAACACCGTTCAAGGATTCACTAACCTCGTAACACACGTATGCTGATTAAACTCCTCGGGTCTCCATGGTCATCAAACTGTACATTGCCGGGAATTCCAGTGAAATTAAGTTTGCGGACGTTGTCAAATATCAGCTGTCCCAGTCGTTTGTCCGTGTATGTGAAGTTTTCGATTTTAAGGGAGTCATCTGATGAATAGAGTAAGATAAAAAGATGCATAACATACATGTGATGGTGGAGTTTAAGGGTGGCTGACCCACCTTGAATAGTTTTCAGTCATATTAGGGCTTGTCAGTGTCATGTGGGAGACAGTCCAAAGAGACACCGCTGCGGGTCATTTACTACTTTGACAACGCAGTAAGACACCGCTGCGGGTCATTCACTACTTTGACAACGCAGTAAGACACCGCTGCGGGTCATTTACTACTTTGACAATGCAGTAAGACACCGCTGCGGGTCATTTACTACTTTGACAACGCAGTAAGACACCGCTGCGGGTCATTTACTACTTTGACAATGCAGTAAGACACCGCTGCGGGTCATTTACTACTTTGACAACGCAGTAAGACACCGCTGCGGGTCATTCACTACTTTGACAACGCAGTAAGACACCGCTGCGGGTCATTTACTACTTTGAAAATGCAGTAAGACACCGCTGCGGGTCATTTACTACTTTGACAACGCAGTAAGACACCGCTGCGGGTCATTCACTACTTTGACAACGCAGTAAGACACCGCTGCGGGTCATTTACTACTTTGACAATGCAGTAAGACACCGCTGCGGGTCATTTACTACTTTGACAACGCAGTAAGAAGTGGGTCGGTTCTAACAAACCAGGCATCATAAGTCGAATGTGGGATTTGAACCTTTGATCAGGTGACTCTGGCACGATTAAGGGACGCATCTCTGCACAGCGAATTGTGGCGCTTTATGTCACCGCTGGATCACCCTTGCTCCGGCATTGATGATACTCATAACTTAAAACACGGGTGAAAGTCGCACAACCTTACTGACCAGTCACGCAATGTAAGATTTGTGCAATATTTGTTGAATTTAGTCACCAAGTAAAAGACCAAATATATGAAACACACATCCATGTTATGAGACCATCATGCAGATGGACGTTTCGCGGCTTTCCGAGAGCTTTGTCGTCTCATTAGGGAAGCAGATAATTTATAGTATAGCGCTCGATTTAAGATTCTGATTTCAGATCTCACTTTGTTCATATTGAGGGCTATCAACCATTATAATGTTACATTACAAAAGTCATTTCAAAACGTATAAAAATATGACTTACTGGTTTGTATAAGATAGTTGTTGGTTTGATTCAACGCTATGGCTGCTGCCCATATTACGTCATAAGCAGCAGGTGCCCGCTCATACCCGGATGTGAACGTGCTGTTTGTTGTCCGGTCTAAGAGATCCGTGTATCTTGAGCGGAACTGCGATGACGTCATGTTAGAGATTGACACGTCATCGCTCGGATTGTAGTAGACGTTGTCAAGGCTGAAGGCGTTCTCTGTCACTTTAAGAATGTCCTGGGTGGTACAGTTGGCAGTGTCATTATATTCCGTGTACCAATGGGGATAGAACCAGCCAGGGAGTAGCCAAACCACCTTCCTTCCGTACAGACCGACTCTGAACGCCTAAGTTAAAGGAGAAAACAAGAATTCTTGAAACAGTTTACGTTATATCTAAATTGTGTATATCAAAGATACAGATGCGAACATATATATATATTCTCTTCAAAAAAATAAACGTAAAACGGATATTTTTGGCCATGAAAGCAACATTAGCGGACCAAGAGGTATAAAATGAAGGTATAGGTTTAATGTGGTATAGTGTCAGTGACAAATTTCCCGGATCAAAATCAACAAGGACATGCAAACCATTAGTCGGGAAACACGTACGATTCGGAAAAAAACGCACCCAGTGCTTTAACAATAGGGCCATGGAGCTGCACATGCAGCAACACTATGAACGGTTTTAAAGTGCAGGGTTTTGATTTCCTGGCACCTGCGTCAATCGAACAGTGACAGTTCAACAACATGCCAAGATTAACAGAAGTGCAAAGAAACAACGTCATAGGCCGCTTGCAGGCAGGGAATCCCAATCGGCTGTAGCCAGGGTTTTCAGTGTAGCGCCCAGCACCATCACAAGGCTATGGGATAGGTTTCAACTGCATGGGTCAACAAGTGATCGGCAAAGGTCGGGACGACCAAGAAGAAACACCTCCGCCCAAGATCGCTACATCCGACTGCGCCACCTACGTGAAAGGACGACCACAGCCACCTCAACCACATCCCAAATACCCGGACTGCGCAGAATCTCCGACCAGACCGTATGAAACCGTTAAGAGCAGCAGGTCTACGAGCAAGACGTCCTGTTCGACGCGTCATATTGAGTCGACAACATTGTCAACAACGACTACATTGGTGTCGTCAATACAGGGTATGGCCTCAACTGCGATGGAGAGATGTCTGGTTCAGCGACGAATTAGGATTTCTCCTCCGTCGAGGGGATGGAAGAGCACGGGTCTACAGACGTCGAAGAGAACGTTACGCCGGAAACTGCGTACAGGAAGTGGACAGGTTTGGTTAATGGTAGCCTTATGATGTGGGCGGCTATCTCTCATCACTGCAGCACAGGTTTGGTCCATATCCAGGGCAATCTTACGGCTCAACGATACATCGACGAAATTTTCTTACCACACGTCCTCCCAATTGCAGCCAACGGCAACGGTGTGTTCCAGAAGGACAACGCTCGACCGCATACAGCACGGATCACAAGAGCCTGTCTACACAACAAAAACGTAGGATGGGTTGGATAGACGGCTACGCCGACGTCAACCACAGCTCCAAATGTTACAGTAGTAGGCTTTTGCGTTGCAGGCCGAGTGGGCTACCATTCCCCGGGATCTGATTCGCATTCTCGTCTCTTCCATGGGCAGGAGATGTCAGGCCGCTATCGATTCCAAAGGGGGACATACGCGTTATTAATGGTAGCTGACCTTCAATTTGGACTTTTCCTATGTACCGATAACTGAGATGACTTCAATCACCAAGTGTTCTCTCCACAACATTTTGGCTCAATACCTTGTACGGTTCCTCGAATAAATGTATTTTCCTACCTCACACAAATCTGGCCTTGCGTTTCTTATTTTGAAGAGTATATGTTTAACTTAGTTATGGGAATTAATTGTTTTGACTTGGGTACATTTTTCAGGGGTGGTGGGGCAGCTAATGAGGCACATTTCTCTGTCAACCATGACAGTATAAATTTTCTGTTATCCTTTGTTTGTTCAATGTGTTCATCTTTCATCCTTCCTCGTTGGTATATTCCATCTATAGTTGCCAAACTTCCCACGCCTTATTGAGCAAGACTTATGTTACGTGAATCACAAGTGAAACATTACACGGGATGAAAAAATCTTTCATTTCATTTCAATTCGAACTTACTTTACCTATTATTATGTAAATTCTAATATACAGACAGCATAGATGCAAATATATATAAATTGTCAATGTATATAGCAACATTTCATGTTCAACACCGGAAGCACGAAACTAACAGTCAAGGTATACACATATTCGTGGAGAGGAAACATCATTCGATAATGGAGTTGGAGCACTCAGCGCTCAGTAAGGCATTATTTCCCATGTTGCACCACTGGGCGGCTGGCAAACCAACTTTCCTGCTCAGTTATACAGTCGACGAAGATACTCAGTCATCGATCTCAAACTTTTCTCAATCTCCAAAGGAATCAAGTATGCATTGCAGTCACACTATGTCATGCACCATGTTTCAATTATACAATGTTCTATTGTCTGTTTCCTTCAGACACCAAGTATAAATACCCAAGTACCTGGCAAATGACTTCCCGCCCTAGCCGGGGATAGAAGTTGCCTACAATGATTCTTGCATCCTGATTCTGAAACATGTAGATTGTCAACATTAGAGATGATGCTAAATTGTACGATATAATTACACTTTGTGCATCCTTGATTAACCAACGGATCGCTATTCTGTTATGATAAAAATTCCTTGACACAATCGCTACCACAGATTGGGTCCATGTAGAACGGCACGACTCAAATAGCCGTCCAATCAAACTAGAAATAGGAGCCATGGGTGTGGTGGCGTCACATCCGAAACGAAGCTATGGTTGCAAATGGATCTAGGATATTTAATCAAATAGAATCCACTGGATATTCGAGGATTACATTAATAAGTGATGATGGGCCTTGGTTCGTCACGCCGAACAACCGGGATCGATTGCCAATATCGGTTCAATGTGTGGAGAATATTCATTGTGTTCACCGACAATGGTAGTGTTGAAAAACACTTTACATACCTGCATATCTCATATGATTGAATTTTATCTTGTTTTTTTTTCTTTCCGTTAAACAAATGATAATAAATAACACTAGAAATAGTATTTATCTGCGAAAACCGGAACTGGAGCAGTTATTGGTCGTCATGGTTACCTTCAGTGCTCTAACGTCAATGGTTGGATCGCTGAAGAACTGATGTGATAGTACCGTTATATTCTCAGCATTAAGTTTCTGTATAAGGTCCTCCGTTGCCTAAAACATTCCAATGATATTTACCAAGTTAAAAACTAAGGACAAGTTGAAACAGAGACAATGTTTTCTCTTCAACTTTAACTTTCCAATATTAATGTCGAGCCGTCTTCCAACACATACAACATTTGATGTCTGCGTTTACCACTTTTTTAAAATTCTGTTTCTATGAAGATGTCAAAGAGCGTCCGACGGCTAAAAAAATGTTAGATCAAGGTTACAACATTCAAGGCCCCATCAAAGCTTTCAAAACGTCGACGCAATTCCCTATTTTGTCTTGTCCCATATGTTTCGTGTTTTTGCTTCTTTTTCAGGTGAACATTAACTTGACCTTGCATGTGTTTGTGACGGGTGCTCACCCTTTCACGAATACCTGGTGCAATCACTCTTGGTAGAGTTTCCTAAACACATGCTCATGATATTGTCGGAATCGTGCAATGAACTCTGCGGTTGGCAGAGATTTCGAATGATTATGGAAATGTTTTTAGTTGCTTGTATTTGCATGTATGAAAATGAAACTGCTGGTGGTTCCTGGGATTTCTTTGATTGTGGAAATGGTTCTGTCGCTCTTTTTCACAGGGGCTTCTAGCACTGTTGTGTCCAGGGAATAAATTACATTACAGATGTCTTGATACTCTCAAGTTTGGTATCCACCATACACAGGCACGTTACTCTATAGCAGTAGTGGAGGGTTTTCACTCGTTCATTTGCAAGGTGTTTTGTTGTACATTTCGGAAAGTGTCATTGTCAAGAAATCGTAGAGCGTGAGTATATCCTGAGTCAGTATGACTATGGACAATCCATTGAGGTTTGCATGAAATGATCTTTTTCTAATCTTCAATGACATAATATACCTGTGTACTTCTTGACACATGTCGATAAGGATTAACCGAATTTTTGTTTGTTTGTTTGTTTGTTTGACACCCCTTTCGTCAAATATTCCAGCTATATGACATCGGCCTTTAAATCGAATCTGGACCAGTCACTCCAGTGGTTGATATTATGAGCAATGCCCCAATCCGCTCAGGTACGATGACATGCAATCAACCAATTCTGTCAACCATATGATTAGCATAAGATGCTGGGGTTCTATCCTAACCCGGAATCTCGAATTATGAACATTTTTTTGTAATAAAAGCAACAAAACCCTTTCCATATACATAAGACATCTCTGATTTGATTATACGAGTTCGATTATATTTTCAGTATAATCATAAGAAATCACTATTAAATAGTTATGATACCAGCCGTTCACGAAAAGGTCAGCGTATCCTGCCCAAACGGTGGCACCCGTCACAAACACATGCAAAGACAAATCAGTTATTTACCTGAAAAGATTGGGAATAAATGGCACAAGTTAAAATAGGGAATTGCATCGGAAGTTGTTTTTAAATTTCCCCAGGATAATATTAACCTGAAAATTTCAACAAGTCCATGTTAACATTTAATTTTATTGTGTAAACCTACTGAGGAAAATAGGTCCATGTTCTCAGAGATGATTGCTATCCTATTCCAGCCAAAATGCTTGAAGAGTTTTACACGGACTTTGTTGGTGTTGGCCTCAGGGGAGATAACTCTGAAGAACTTTGGGAACACCTTCTTGTTTGACAGTGAGGGAGACACAGATCCATAGGAGATCTGAAAACACATCAGATAAGAAATCCCAAACGTCAACGCCAGAGAATAACCAGTCTTGACAGACTCCATTGGGAAAAGGGAAAATAGAGGTGAAACTGATCTAACAGGATCACTCAAAAACAGTGAATGACACCAGGGGGTCACGAAATAGACACCAGTAGCATCCGCCACAAAAAAGCTGCATACTCACAACAGGAGCATTATTATCCAAAACACCGTTTTTCATATATCTTTGTAACGTTAGCTCAAACGTCGTAATAAGAGGGTAAATGTCAACTTACAACATATAGAAATGAATTGGAAGTACAGAAAAGTGATTTTCAGAATAACCTACTCATTGGGATTTTAATTCAGGTCATTTATGTTCTTGCTCGTTAACGAAATGGAATATATGTACCAATGTACTCGCTTTTAACGAAACGTGTAATATATAACCGATTTACTCGCCCTTCAACGAAACGTGTAATATATGTACAGATGTACTCGCTCTTCAGCGAAGCACAAGTGATACTGGTGGCAGTGTACTGCATCTCTGTCGACGCATGTATTATACTAGTAGTGGTGTACTCAGTGGTTTTCAATGAAACAGTTATACCGGTATTCTCGATCTTTAACAAAGCATGGCAATAACGGCACTGTGTACTGTATCTTTGACCAAGTAAATTGGGTACGGTGTACTGTACCTGCACGAGGTTCCACAGATGTGACACCCTGGCTGTTGCCTCAGACACAGCAGAACATGCACCACCTATGACCATCAAACTGGTGCCTTGGGTATACAAGCTGTCGGCCAGCGCCTTCACGCCCACACCTTTGTTGCACTACAACAGTATATCATCATGACTACAAAAAATAGTGACTATATTCATAAAGAGGTTTCAGATTAGACTGTAATTGCATTTCCTGAACTTTCCACATTTCAAAAACAAGCAACCGTGTTCCTACAGCTGATGTTGGAAATATATTTAAATCTGAACATCACCATATAGCAAGCCCACTTTTTTTCAAAGTCTTGTTTCTACCCTTGCCACATGAAGCTCACCATCCTGTGCTAAATATGATTGGACCATCGCACATATAGATAGTCCAATCACAAACTCAACATCCACGACTGGTACATCTTCGTATAGACCGCCTCCGTGGTCTTGTGGTGGAGCATCCGCCCGGACAGCGGAAGGTCCGGGGTTCGATCCCCGGCCGCGTCATACGTTAAAATATGGTACTTGTTGTTACCCTGTCTGGCGCTCGGCATTAAGGGGCTAAAACAAGGACTGGTCGGCTCGGGGTCAGTATACTGAGTGGGGTATTCATGTAAAACTGCGGCATGGTATCTCAGTGATCCATGAGCTAGCACTATAAATCGGCATCAGTCCGGACTAGTACTAGGAACCACACACACACGTGCATGCACATCGCTATATAAGTGCAATGATCTTGGACGCGAGGTTAAACCCAATTTCACCCCACCTCACACCTTCGTATAAAAGTGATTTACCGCTGCTGTCTTTGTCGACATGTCTTTTTCATCCCCATCACCCCCCACCCACCCACAAACTATGTTTGAATATTCGGGATGGAATCACGAATGTTTTACGTTTTCTGATCGACTAGGTCGTCGCTACTGGTTGTCGCCATCTTTGTGAAGCTATCGCGTTTTCATTACAAGGGGCAGAACTCGTGTTCGACGCGAGGTGGCGCCAGGGTCGAGTCAGGAAAAGTGGTCTTGATGTTGCTTGCCTTGGGAAGATGATAGAAAGCATACATAAGAAAATACAGTCGCATCAAGTAACTGCTCTATAACGGATTCAGTATTCAATAATTCCTCAAAGTGAAGTTTACAAAGACACGGCTTTTCCTTTGGACGTGAGGTCGTCGCATGACCGGAAATTGACGTTCATAAGTGCACGAAAGACAAATTTTGACGTTCAGACATTTTCACGAGATCGTATTCTTGAAATGCCGTAAACAGTGACATACTACTTCCACATTCCTGGGGAAAACCCTGGAAAATCTCCCTTGCGAGAATACATATAGAAGCGTTGTCTCGATCGTTTAGACCCTTTAATCTTTAACTCATAATTAGCAAACATTGAGAAACCTCAGACCTCAGAGAGTTTTACTGCATATTCTAGTCCTAGTGAGCGACGAAATGCAAATCCAAACTGTCGTAGTATCAACTCGATCTGTCTCTATGTATATATACCTTTGTGTGAGTTCATTGGACTATGAAGCTTCATGGAGTGAGGGCTAAACCAATGAACTCACACAAAGCGAGAGTCAATTCTTAACAGACCGTTTCGACCCCCTGATGTTGTGGTCACTATTGTCGTCTGCTCTCGAGACTTCCAAACGAGTACTTTTAAGTGAAGCTAAATTCAAATGGGGATAAAACATCGGGAATTTTTTGATTGATTGAGTGAGTGAGGGCTTGAGTAAGTTTGGTGTAACGCCGATTTGAACAGTATTTGAATATGAAACAAAACATATCTAATATTACTGGGAATGTATCAAATGCTCAGAGAACAGGCTGCCCTCTAAACATCACTCAATGTGAGGACGTGAAGGAATGTTAGAAAACACGGCAAAACATTTTGAGCGTTCACCCTGTTGATCTGAAACATTTAGCCAAACTGACTACTCTAAATGAATAAACTACCGCATGTTCCTGAATTTAAACTTGATGAATATATTTCCTTAAATGTCCTACAATGTTTAATATTTCCGGAGCCACCAACAGTGTAATTTTAATACACTCTTCAAAAAAAGAAACGAATAGGTGTTTTGAGAATTTCAATTAGATTTTTTCCCCAACAATCGTCTTAAAGACAATTCTGTGATAGTGATTCCCGTTAATCATGCCATGTTTGTTGTGCAGTGCACGCAAACACATCTCAAATGGTTTTGTAAACGTTTATCAGCAAAAATGCAAATGATGCACGGAAATTGCTTTCAGAAAAAGTTTTCAGCACAATGCACGTGCAAAGTGTTTGAAATAAGGGCAGAGACAATGACTATAAAAGACCGTACAAAATTCATGAGTTCATTACGAATTTTCTGACGTGATTGAAGATCGAAACATGCCAAGATTAACTGCAGCTGAAAGAAATATCGCCACTGGACGTTTGGAAGCAGGGGAGTCCCAGTCAACCCTGAAGAGACTTCAACGTTCACCAAAGCATCATATCTCGACTATGGGATCGATATACCCGCACTAATTCGACTCAAGATCATCCCAGAAGTGGAAGAACAAGAGTGACCACCCCTGCTCAGGATCGGTACATCCGGTTGCATCGGAACCCATTTGCTACAGCAACGGACACTGCAGGACAAGTGCCTGGTATGCGAAGTATTTCCGACCAAACCTTTAGAAATCGTCTGAGCGAAGTAGGAATTCGAGCGAGACGACCAAAAGTTGGACCTGTCTTGCGACGTCTACACCGTCAACGACGTGTCCGGTGGTGCAACAGAGTACAGGCAGGAGATCGCAGGAACTGGCGACGCGTTTGGTTCAGCGATGAGTCACGTTTTCTTCTTCAACGAGGGGTGGAAGACAACGTATATTCCGACGTCGACATGAACGTTTTGCGCCGAACTGCGTTCGACAGGTGGACCGATTTGGTGGAGGGAGTGTCATGGTGTGGGGAGCAATATCCTATACGGGTAGGTCACAGTAAGTTGTTGTCCAGGGCAATCTTACAACAAACCAATACATTGACCAAATTCTGCGTCCTCACCTCCTCCCAACTTTGGACCGCCAGAGGGAGCTGTTCCAACATGACAACGCTCGGCCCCACACAGCACGTGCAACAGTTAATTTCCTTGTTAATGAGAACATCGATGTCCTTCTATGGCCGTCCAAATCGCCTGATCTCAACCCGTTTGAACATTTGTGAGACGAACTTGATCGACGCGTCCGTCAACGTCACCAGCGTCCCTACACACTGGCACATCTCGCCAACGCCTTACAGGATGAATGGCGAATAATTCCCCACGAAAAAACCCGAAGACTTGTGCAATCTGTGCCAAGGAGGTGTCGAGCAGTGACGGCTGCAAGAGGTGGTGTGACCAGGTACTGACCATGACGCCGGTATATAAATTGGATATATGTTATTGGAAAATTTTGGTGGTCTGATATTCGACAAACGGTGCGTCAAAACACTTGTTCAAAAATGTCATGGAGGGCCATATCCTACACCACGAGATCTGACTTGGTTGTGTTTCAGGAAAATGTGACAGCAAATCGCTACATGAATCATATTCGCCTTCTTCCATTCATTAACCGCCAGAGAGAGCTGTTTCAACCGCACACAGCTCGTTTCACGGTAGACTACCTTCATAATGCCAACATCAACCCCTTGCCCTGGCCGTCAAGATCTCAAGATCACAACCCAATCGAACACCTCTGGGAAGAACTCGATCGACGTGTACGTCAACGTCAGAACACGCCGCAGACACTCCCACAACTGGCCAACGCGTTACAAGCAGAGTGCCGCAGAATTCCGCAGGACAGAATTCGTACACTTATCCAGTCAGTACCGAGGAGATGCAGAGCCGTGATTGCTGCCCGGGCGGTCACACGAGATACTGAGTACAGCGCAACCTTGTGGCCTTATGTGTCGTGACAATGAACAGTTTTCAATGCCTTTGTACAACGACAACATTTAACTAACGAGTTCCAAAATTACATATTTGTATCTATGATTCAGAAATAAGTATATCGACTTTATTAGGTACAATAAATTTACTAAAAACAACCTGTGCGTTTCTTTTTTTCAAAGAGAATGAGCACGCTCCAAACATCTTACAGCCAAACATACCCACGTTTTCCATTGCGTGCAAAAACGCTGAGTTAAAGATTAAACAAGCTTTAAGGTAGACACAATTTTATGCTGTAAAAAGCGACGTTTCGGTGTAGATTCTTATACCATTGTCAAGCAAGACTCAATGAGGGACAATGTACAGAATATGTATAGTAGGTGGAGGATTAACAGTAACAACAATTGCATATATGATTGGTATAACATGAGTAAGTGATGACAAAAGAAGGATAATACTGTCACAACACGATGGTCGGTGGAAGCCAATGGGACATGAAGCCAATTGAACAGGATAAGTGAGTATTGCTTAAGGAGTTCATAGTAGGCGGATTGGATGAAATAGCCTTGATCTCTCTTGATTGATGGCTTGTGGCGGCGAATGTGGACTGCTTCTGCCGGTTCTCTTTTAGTGACATCATGAAGGTTGCCCCAGTTAATGTTGTGATTAGGACAGTTGCTGATATGGTCCGAGATGGCTGACTGGCTGACTGATTTGATGGTTGAGGTGTTTTGTGCTCTTTGATTCTGGTGTTGATGGGGCGGGATGTTTCACCTACGTAAGATTGGCCACAGTTGCAGTCAATTTATTAAACTACACCTTTCGGCTCTTGGGGGTTTGGTTGTGTTCCTACCGTTGGCTCTTAGCAGGGCGTTGAGGGAGTTGGAGCTGGTGAAGTGGGTGTCAATATTGGCTTGTTGTTTGAGGCGGCGGCTGATGATGTGGGAGGCTTTTCCTATGAACGGGTGGGCGATGCGGAAGGGCGGTGATTCGGTTTAAGGGTCGCAGATCTGGGTGTAGAATGGAGTACGGAGGAGATGACTTTATCGGCGAGATTAGGGGGATAATTGTTTTGGTAACTCTATTAATTGTTTGTGTAAAAAGGTTGGTGTTAGTGACGTACCAGCTCTCTTAACGGAGAAGGGACTCTGACAAAATCACGAATCAGTACAATGGCTTGCACTTAAAACCTGAATGCATGTCCATTACCCTTTCGTTCTGGATT